TTAAACATCTACATTTCCATACACATATACATAAGTTGAGATTATTTCTAACTATATTTTCTATTTTATTTTATGGGATTATTTTGAGAATTTTCTGCTCTCCTCTTCACATTTTTTTATATTTTTTTCCTGACCAACAAAAATCATTGCAAATAATAATATGGTCTCCAATAGAGTGACCAGCAACAACAGAGTTGATAGCTATCACTGCCGTGTGCCATTCATGCAATCATTCATGCCTTACATCGAACCAATTCAGCCATCCATCCATCCGTCCGTCCATCCGACCAATTCCCAACCCATCCATATCTACCTTTTTTCTTTCCTTCTTCCACTATCAATTTATCAATCTCTGGCGCTGGGGCATTTTCATGCTGGGCGAGGCCATCTGAGACCAGAAATGTCTGTTCCGTCGTTGATTTTATTTTTCGATTTTAATTTTTATTGTTGTTGTTGCTGCCTTGTAAATGAAAATGAAAAATACAAAAAAAAAAAAAAAAAACATTTTCAAATAATTCAAATAAATGAATGTTAAATGCAAACATGTGTCCGAGGTAATTGAATCTAAACTGTGTGAGTGATGCAGGCAGGCAGCACACAAACAGGTTTTATTTTTCACAAGTACGGCCGCAAATTGTAATGGGCTTTGTTGTTGTTTTTGTTACTGTTGGGAAAAATTGAGATTATTCTTCATCACAAAACAAAAAAATTAAATGGATTTTTATACAAACTTGTTCAATTTAATTTAAAAAAAGCACTAGAAATAAATTATATACTTTATTTGCAAAATTATATAGTATATTTTTAGGGGATTGCTAATAATAAATATTTAAAAAAAAAATAAAAATATTTTTCAGTGGCTATTTATAGGAGTGAATTTTTTAAACTTAATTTTTCAACGCCTAGGCCAAGACATGGATTTTTTTAAAATTAATTTTTCAAAGCCTACCCTTAGGCGTGGATTTTTAAAATTAAAATTTTCAAAGCCTACCCTTAGGCGTGGATTAATTAAAATTAATTTTTGTCATAGACTACCCTTAGGCGTGGATTTTTTAAAATTAATTTTTGTCATAGACTACCCTCAAGCATGGATTTTTAAAACTAATTTTTCAAAGCCTACCCTCAGGCGTGAATTTTTTAAAATTAATTTTTCAAAGCCTACCCTAAGGCGTGAATTTTTTAAAATTAATTTTTGTCATAGACTACTCTTAAACGTGGATTTTTATAAATTAATGTTTGTCATAGACTACCCTTAGGCGTGGACTATTTAAAATTAATTTTTGTCATAGACTACTCTTAGGCGTGGATTATTTAAAATTAGTTTTTGTCATAGACTACCCTTAGGTGTGGATTATTTAAAATTAATTTTACAATGCCTAGTTTTAGGCGTGGATTATTTGAAATTAATTTTTCAATGCCTATTTTTAGGCGTGAATTATTTGAAATTAATTTTTCAATGCCTATATTTAGGCATGGATTATTTGAAGTTAATTTTTCAATGCATATTTTTAGGCGTGGATTATTTGAAATTAATTTTTCAATGCATATTTTTAGGCGTGGATTTTTATACCCTTCACCACACTGTGGTACAGGGTATTATGTCTTTGTGAATATGTTTGTAACAGGCAAAAGGGAACGAGATAGATCCATAGTTCCTTTTGAGAATATGCATAGAATCACTTATTGAGTCGATTTACGCATGTCCGTCTATCCGTCTGTCTGTCCATGTTAAATTGTAAACGAAGTACAGGTCGCATTTATAATCCGAATTGGATGCAATTTGGCACAGCTCATTTGTTTGGCCCAAAATTGAAATTGAAATTGAGAAAAAATCGGATCAGATTTAGATATAGCTCCCATATATATTTTCGTCCGATTTAAGCTAAATGGTTCACCAAAGTCCCTATATATCTTTCGACTTGCACGATATTTGGCATAGTGTACTGAATTAGGTCTAGAATGATGTGTGTCAAGTTTCATGAAAATCGGTTCAGATTTAGATATATCTCCCATATATATTTTCGTCCGATTTAAGGTAAATGGTGCACCAAAGTCCCTATATATCATTCGATTTGCACGAAATTTGGCATAGCGAACTGAATTAAGCCTGTAGTGATGTGTGCGAAGTTTTTTGAAAATCGGCTCAGATTTAGATATAGCTCCCATATATATTTTCATCCGATTTAAGGTAAATGGTGTACCAAAGTCCCTATATATCTTTCGTTTTGCACGAAAATTTGATGTGTGCTAAGTTTCGTGAAAATCGGTTCAGATTTAGATATAGCTCCCATATATATTTTCGTCCGATTTAATTTATATGGTGCACCAAAGTCCCTATATATCTTTCGATTTGCACGAAATTTGGCATAGCGTACTGTATTAGGTCTACAAGGATGTGTGTCAAGTTTCCTGAAAATCGGTCCCGATTTAGATATAGCTTCAATATATATTTTCGTCCGATTTGAGGTAAATTGTGCACCAAAGTCCCTATATATCATTCGATTTGCATGAAATTTGGCATAAGGTACTGAATTGAGCCTATAGTGATGTGTGCCAAGTTTCTTGAAAATCGGTTCAGATTTACATATAGCTCCCATATATATTTTCGTCCGATTTAATGTAACCTAAGGTTCCTTTGATTTATTATCTATAGAAAAATATCCTGTTTGATTTCAATTCAAATTATTGCCTTTGTTAAAATTTTATGTACATACATTTTATTGACTAGGAAACAATATTGAAAAGCAAATAAATAAAAAAACAAATTGCGGTTGTCTCTTTGATATTCATTTGTTTGCAATTTCCATTTTTCTGCAAAATGTCCACCCCCCTCACAATTTTTTTTCTTCTCAACACAAAGTGTTGACAATATTTTTTTGTTTGAACATTCATGTCCACAAATTTGGAGCAAGAAGAAATATTCAAGTACTGCGTCGGTCGGTACATGTTTCAATATTTTTTTGTTTTGTTTCTATTTGATTGCCATGAAATATGTCTGTCCGACGTCCACAATGAAAAAAAGATGTTGTCTGTGAAATATTGCCCACACACAGAACCAGCATCCGAAGAAGAAGAAGAAGACGTCTACTGTACGCAACAAAATAGCTTTCAACAAAATTTCATGGATATTCAGAGGCATTGCTCTACGGCGGTGTGTACGGCTTTTCCTCAAAATATAAAATAAAAACATCTAAAAGTTTTTATTCGAATTTTTTTGTCTGTGACGCCATGACGTCAGAACCTTGAATTGAGGCCAACCGCGAACCGAACGACGACGACGCCATCCGAAATGATTAATAATAATTTTAGTAGATCAGTCACACACTCACACATCGCAAAATCACCCAAAACATTTTTGGCAAACATTTTTTTCTTTCTTTAGAAATTTTTTTTAAATACAATTTTTTTTAATTACAAGTTGATTTTTGATAATGATGAATATTGAATGGTCTCTTCAAAGTGAGTCCAAAAAAATCGATTTAAATGGAAATGAAATTTTTCCGTTCGAAGTTCTTTATTTTTTAATAGACTTTCCAGGAAATGTGATGATGATGATGTCGATTGGTTCGTTCGTATTGTTCTTGGCTAAATATATTTGGCATTGTAGTATTTTAGAGAGAGAGCGAGGTCGGGGTAATGGAGGAAGGTGCATGGTAATACGGAAAAACTAAAAGCGGAAATTGCCAATGAAAAATTCCAAAACAATTATGATGAATAATGAATGTGAAAGTCAGTCAGCAAACAAATGGACATGTGAATAGAGATGGTCACAGACATGCCGACGGACAGACGGTTAGGCAGACAGACAAAAATATTAGTAGACATGGCAAACAGAACGTTTGTAACCTTCCGTGACAAGTTAAGCCAATTTGTAAGGCTTATCATTGGCATGGCTATGTTTTACAAATATTTTTCTCAATAACCAATGAATTCAATGAAGAAAAGCCAAAAAGTAGGCAATACAAAATTTCTTAAAAAATTTCTTTTGTGGGCAATGAAAAATTAATTTTAAAAATCCACCCCTAAGGATAGGCTATGAAAAATTAATTTTAAAAATCCACGCCTAAGGATAGGCTATGAAAAATTAATTTTAAAAATCCACGCCTAAGGATAGGCTATGAAAAATTAATTTTAAAAATCCACGCCTAAGGATAGGCTATGAAAAATTAATTTTAAAAATCCACGCCTAAGGATAGGCTATGAAAAATTAATTAAAAAAATCCATGCCTTCTCTATGAAAAATAATTTAAAAAATAATAGACCAAAGGGTCTTACGATTTTTTTTCTACAGAAAAAATCGACCAAAGGGTCTTACGAATTTTTTTCTACAGAAAAAATCGACTAAAGGGTCTCACGAATTGTTTTCTATAGGAAAAAAATCGACTAAAGGGTCTCATGAATTTTTTTCTATAGGAAAAAATCGACCTAAGGGTCTCACGAATTTTTTTCTATAGGAAAAAAATCGACCTAAGGGTCTCACGAATTTTTTTCTATAGGAAAAAATCGACCTAAGGGTCTCACGAATTTTTTCTATAGGAAAAAAATCGACCTAAGGGTCGTCACGAATTTTTTTCTATACAAAAAAAATCGACATAAGGGTCTCACGTTTGTTTTTCGACGTAAGGGTCGTCACGAATTTTTTTCTATAGAAAAAATCGACCTAAGGGTCGTAACGTTTGTTTTTTATAGAAAAAATCGACCTAAGGGTCGTAACGTTTGTTTTTTATAGAAAAAATCGACCTAAGAGGGTTGTCACGAATTTTTTCTATAGAAAAAAAAAATCGACCCGAGGGTCGTCACGAATTTTTTCTATAGAAAAAAAAATCGACCCGAGGGTCGTCACGACCTGAGACCTGAGGATCTGTTGATATTTCAGATCTAAGTTTGTATTTTTTGGTCCCTGTATATTGCTCTCCATATTCTCTGTATTTAGTTACGATCTTTCCCGAACCCTGTACTAATTTTTTGTTTGTTTTCTTTTTCTTCTATTTCCAGTGCGCAGTTGTCGTACCGGTAAATCTGTTCAAATGTCCGAATCTGAGGTACGAGGCTTGTGTTTAAAATCTCGTGAAATATTCCTACAGCAACCGATCCTGTTAGAGCTTGAGGCTCCTCTGATTATTTGCGGTGATATTCATGGCCAATATACAGATTTGTTGCGTCTCTTCGAATATGGTGGATTCCCTCCGGCAGCCAATTACTTGTTCTTGGGCGACTACGTGGACAGAGGCAAACAATCGTTGGAGACCATCTGTCTGCTGTTGGCCTATAAAATTAAATATCCCGAGAATTTCTTTTTATTGCGTGGCAATCACGAATGTGCCAGTATTAATCGTATTTATGGTGAGTCCATGGATCTGCTATTTAAAAAATAAATTCTAATTTTGTTTCCTTCCCAGGTTTTTATGACGAATGCAAACGACGCTACAATGTGAAATTGTGGAAAACCTTTACAGACTGTTTCAATTGTTTACCCGTTGCCGCCATTATCGATGAGAAGATTTTCTGCTGCCACGGCGGCCTGAGTCCCGATTTGCAGGGCATGGAACAGATACGACGCTTGATGCGTCCCACAGATGTACCCGATACTGGTTTATTGTGTGATCTGTTATGGAGCGATCCGGACAAGGATGTCCAGGGTTGGGGTGAAAATGATCGTGGTGTTAGTTTTACGTTCGGTGCTGATGTCGTATCGAAATTTTTATCAAAACATGAAATGGATCTGATTTGTCGTGCCCATCAGGTGAGTAGAAGGTGTGGAGATATCTATGAGGACTTATTTTTAATTTTTTTGACTTTGTTACAGGTCGTCGAGGATGGTTATGAATTCTTTGCCCGCCGTCAATTGGTGACACTATTTTCCGCTCCCAATTATTGTGGTGAATTTGATAATGCCGGCGGCATGATGACTGTGGATGATACATTAATGTGCTCATTCCAGGTAGGGATCAGGGGCAAAACTACCAAAAGACTTTTCAAAAATATTTATGGAAACAAATTCGTGAGACCCTTAGATCGTTTTTTTATAGAAAAAAATTAGAGATACCCTTGGGTCAAGTGTTTTCTATAGAAAAAAAATCGTGAGACCCTTAAATCGCACTTTTTTCTATAAAAAAAAGGTGAGACCCTCAGATCGATTTTTTCTATAGAAAAACATTTTGAGACTCTTGAGTCGATTTTTTTCTATAAAAAATGTTTTTTCTATAGAAAAAACTTCGTGAGACCCTCAGATCGATTTTTTCTATAGAAAAACATTTTGAGACTCTTGAGTCGATTTTTTTCTATAAAAAATGTTGTGAGAACTTCAGGTCGACTTTTCTATAGAAAAAAATTCGTGGGACCCTTGGTCGATTTTTTTCTATAAAAAAAAAAATTCGTGGGACCCTTGGGTCGATTTTTTTCTATAAAAAAAAAAATTCGTGGGACCCTTGGGTCGTTTTTTTTCTATAAAAAAAAATTCGTGGGACCCTTGGGTCGATTTTTTTCTATAAAAAAAAATTCGTGGGACCCTTGGGTCGATTTTTTTCTATAAAAAAAAATTCGTGGGACCCTTGGGTCGATTTTTTTCTATAGAAAAAAATTCGTGGATCCCTTGGGTCGATTTTTTCCGATAGAAAAAAATTCTTGAGACCCTCAGGTCGATTTTTTTTTTCGATAGAAAAGAATTCTTGAGACCCTCAGGGCGATTTTTTCCGATAGAAAAAAATTCTTGAGACCCTCAGGTCGATTTTTTTCCGATAGAAAAAAAAATCTTGGGACCCTCAGGTCGATTTTTTTCTATAGAAAAAAGTTCATGAGAACCTCAGGTCGATTTTTTTCTATAGAAAAAAATTCGTGAGACCCTGAAACCCTATTTTTTGATATTTTTTAATCTGTTTTTTTTTTCTTTTTTGTCCTTCCAGATATTAAAGCCCTCCGAAAAGAAGGCCAAATACATGTACAGCGGCATGAATACATCACGGCCAACAACACCGCAACGTAACGCGCCTCTAATAGCAACGAATAAGAAGAAATAATACATCCATCCGCTTCCATTTCCTTAAAAGTTATTAAATTATTATATACATATAAAATTTGATAATAATAATTATTATAATTACAATAATACAACAACAACAAACAAAAATACAAGAAAAACTACAACAGCAACAACAACAAAAGCAAATAAATTAACAAAGAATTCAAATCCAACTAAAAAATCATCATCGACAACAACACCTAGAAATGAGACAAAACTTGCTACAACTATTACTTCATGTTGTTATTTTAAAATGGCTACAACAACAACAACAAAAATAACACCAACCACAAAAACAACAACATCTGATACTGAATAGCATCTCTCACAAATAAGAAAAATAATAAAAAATACTAGAAAAAAAATAATTTCCAAAATGAATCATCAAAAGCTGACAGGTAGGGCTGTGGATTCGGATCTATATGGGCTGCCTAAAAGATTTTCGTTAAAAGGAACTGAGTCAAAATGGAAGCTGGGACATCTGCATAATAAGGTGGCCAACCAAGGGGTCGCTCGGACTCAGGTTTTCAGTTGAAGTCCCAAGAATGAATTTTTTTCTTCTAGGAAAGACATTGTGAAGCTCCCTGGAGACTCGTTTAAGGTCCTTTGGGACTCGTTTTTTCGATCCACTTAGTGTGAAAAAATATTTTCCTACGTCCTCCTATTCTACAGTCCTGCCTGTTATCGTCCAGAATTTTGTCGTAGATTTCATTTCATCCACACACACACACCCCACCCTCTACCCTCACATATTTTCTCTCCCCCTTCTGACTTTGTTTAGCTCCTTATCTCCCTATTTGTTATAACTATAATAATTTGTTCTTATTTTCTAAAATCGATTATTTGGTAAAAATATTAAATATATTTTGTATTTAAAAAAATTGAAAATTGTTTAAAATTTTATTTAAGGAAAAAATTTGACTCTCCTTAGTTAAGATCACGCATAATCTTGCCAAATTGTAAGCAGACAATTTTCGAAATTTTCAAAAAAATCGAATTTATAAAAATCAGGAAAAATAAAAAAAATCGTGAGACCCTTAGAAAAAATTTTGTGAGACTCTCAGGTCAATTTTTTCTATAGAAAAAAATTCAGTGAGACCCTCACAATGATTTTTTTCTATAGAAAAAAATTTTGAGACCCTCACAATGATTTTTTTCTATAGAAAAAAATTTGTGAGACCCTCACAATGATTTTTTCTATAGAAAAAAATTTGTGAGACCCTCACAATGATTTTTTTCTATAGAAAAAAATTTGTGAGACCCTCACAATGATTTTTTTCTATAGAAAAAAATTTGTGAGACCACCTCACAACAAGTTTTTTCTATAGAAAAAAATTTGTGAGACCACCTCACAACGAGTTTTTTCTATAGAAAAAAATTTGTGAGACCACCTCACAACGAGTTTTTTCTATAGAAAAAAATTTGTGAGACCACCTCACAACGAGTTTTTTCTATACAAAAAAAATTTGTGAGACCACCTCACAACGAGTTTTTTCTATAGAAAAAAATTTGTGAGACCACCTCACAACGAGTTTTTTCTATAGAAAAAAATTCAGTGAGACCCTCACAACAATTTTTTTCTATAGAAAAAAATTCAGTGTGACCCTCACAACAATTTTTTTCTATAGAAAAAAATTCAGTGAACCTCACAACGATTTTTTTCTATAGAAAAAAATTTGTGAGACCCTCACAATGATTTTTTTTCTATAGAAAAAAATTCAGTGAGACCCTCACAATGACTTTTTTCTATAGAAAAAAATTCAGTGAGACCCTCACAATGATATTTTTCTATAGAAAAAAATTTGTGAGACCACCTCACATCGAGTTTTTTCTATAGAAAAAAATTTGTGAGACAACCTCACATCGAGTTTTTTCTATAGAAAAAAATTTGTGAGACAACCTCACATCGAGTTTTTTCTATAGAAAAAAATTTGTGAGACCACCTCACATCGAGTTTTTTCTATAGAAAAAAATTTGTGAGACCCTTAGGTCGATTTTTTTCTATAGGAAAAAAATTGTGAAGACCCCTGAATCGATTTTTTTGGTATACAAAATTTCTCAATATTGAAAATCTGCTACTTTTTTTAAATTTAAATCCCTTTAAATATTTTTTTAATTTAATTTTTTTTTGGTTTCCATTTTTTTAGAAATCTAGGCAATTGGAAAGTAAATATGTTAAGTGTATCTGCAAAGGCAATTAAAGAACATGATAATAACTACCGTATAACACATAACCTATAAGCATTGTATTTATTATAAATAATAATAAAAAGGAGAACAAAGAAATGGAGGATGACTCAAAAATTAAAAAAAAGAAAAACTGAAGAAAAAAGCAAGTTGAAAATATGAACTAAATAAAAAATCCCTTTTTTTAATAATTTATAAGAAATTACTGAGAATTATTTTTTAAGAAAATTTTCAACTTATCAACCTCTCTCTCTCCTCCTGTCTATCAATCTTTATATATAAAAATATTTATAAATTACAAGAATTTTTTTTTATTTCCTTGTTGAAAAAATCTGTCGTTCTCTCTCATTTTTTGTCAAACTTTTAACACTACCACCTTATGCTTTTATTTCAAATTAGTATTATTTATTTTAATTATTCTTTTTTTCTTAAAATAAAAAAAAAACATATTTTTTCTTAAATTATTTTTATTTTATCTATCTATAGTTAATAAAAATAAATAATTTATTTAATATAAAATATGGAAGCAAATTTAAAAAATATATATAATCTTTGTTTTTAACTATAATCTTATTTACTCCTGATTCTTCTTCTTAATGTTCTGTTTCATTTGATAATTATTTTTTGTTAATTTATATATATGAATTTTTCTTGTAAATTTAAAAAAAACCAACACCAACAACAACAACCATCAAACATATATGCTTGAGCATTTAATTCAATAAATGTGTTTCACTTTAATAATTATTATAATTTTATTTGGTTTTATTTTTTGTTAGGGTTTCAAAAATCCTTCCGAACCCTTGGTTCCACATTTTCTATTGAAAAAATTGACCCAAGGGTCGTCACGAATTTTTTTTCTATAGAAACAAAATTGTGAGCCAAGGCTCATCGCGAATTTTTTTCTATAGAAAAAAAGTGCGACCCAAAGGGTCGTCACGAATTTTTTTCTATAGAAAAAAACTGTGACCCAAGGGTCGTCACGAATTTTTTTCTATAGAAAAAAACTGTGACCCAAGGGTCGTCACGAATTTTTTTCTATAGAAAAAAAGTGCGACCCAAAGAAAAAAAGTGCGACCCAAAGGGTCGTCACGAATTTTTTTCTATAGAAAAAAAGTGCGACCCAAAGGGTCGTCACGAATTTTTTTCTATAGAAAAAAAGTGCGACCCAAAGGGTCGTCACGAATTTTTTTCTATAGAAAAAAAGTGCGACCCAAAGGGTCGTCACGAATTTTTTTCTATAGAAAAAAAGTGCGACCCAAAGGGTCGTCACGAATTTTTTTCTATAGAAAAAAAGTGCGACCCAAAGGGTCGTCACGAATTTTTTTCTATAGAAAAAAAGTGCGACCCAAAGGGTCGTCACGAATTTTTTTCTATAGAAAAAAAGTGCGACCCAAAGGGTCGTCACGAATTTTTTTCTATAGAAAAAAAGTGCGACCCAAAGGGTCGTCACGAATTTTTTTCTATAGAAAAAAAGTGCGACCCAAAGGGTCGTCACGAATTTTTTTCTATAGAAAAAAAGTGCGACCCAAAGGGTCGTCACGAATTTTTTTCTATAGAAAAAAAGTGCGACCCAAAGGGTCGTCACGAATTTTTTTCTATAGAAAAAAAGTGCGACCCAAAGGGTCGTCACGAATTTTTTTCTATAGAAAAAAACACATTCTTTTTTTTTTTTCCAAAAAAAAAGAATGTGAGCCAAGTCTCGCCACGAATTTTTTTCTATAGAAAAAATGTGAACCAAGGGTCTTCGCAAATTTTTTTCTATAGAAAAAAATGTGAGCCAAGGGTCTTCGCGAATTTTTTTCTATAGAAAAAATGTGAGCCAAGGGTCTTCGAGAATTTTTATCTATAGAAAAAAATGTGAGCCAATGGTCGTAGCGATTTTTTTTCTATAGAAAAAAACTGTGACCCAAGGGTCTTACGAATTTTTTTCTATCGAAAAAAATCGACCTGAGGGTCTTACGAATTTTTTTCTATAGAAAACAACTGTGACCCAAGGGTCGTCTATAGAGAACAACTGTGACCCAAGGGTCGTCACGATTTTTTTTCTATAGAAAAAAACTTGACCCAAGGGTCGCCACGAATTTTTTTCTATAGAAACAAATGTGAGCCAAGGGTCGTCACGAATTTTTTTCTTTAGAAAAAAATGTGACCAAGGGTCGTCGCGAATTTTTTTCTATAGAAAAAAATGTGAGCCAATGGTCGTCGCGAATTTGTTTCTATAGAAAAAAATGTAAGCCAATGGTCGTCGCGAATTTTTTTCTATTGAAAAAAATATGACCCAAGGGTCGTCACGAATTTTTCCAGGTTTTTGCAGACGTTATGGAAACGGTTGGGCGCCACTTTAAATATTTCATTTATTATTATTATTTTTTTTAATTTATTATTTCTCCTATTGAAAAAATCTACTTTTAATAAAAATACTCTACAATTAATTAAATTAATTGAAATTTATATTTTCTTCATTGAAAAAAAAAAAACTAAAAAAAATCAAACACCAATTTTTGCATTATAAAAAAATTATATAAAAAAAGCAAAATTAAAAAAAAACAAATAATTTTTTTAAAACAACTTTGAATATATCAAATGTTTTTTTCATCGACTTAAGCTTAGTTTTTAAAACATAATTCCTTCGAAAAAATATTTTTAATTATATAAAAAAACATTAAAAAAAAAATAAATAAAAGAAAAATTTAAAAATAATTTCAAATAAAAATATCGATGAAGAAAAAAAATACTAAAAAAACCTAATTAGATAGTAGTGCCTTTTTTGCCTCCCGTTATAAATTTCATAAATATTTGTTAACATAATAAAAATAAATCAATACATAATAACAAAAAGTATATATACATTTATAAATACGTACTTACATACATACATACATTAAAAAATAAATAATAAAATTAAAAAAATAATAATAAAAAATTAAAAAAAAAATTGATTGAAACATTTTATTGGAGAAAAATTGGAAAAACCAAATCTGTT